TGTTTCAGTAGCAAGGGTTTTTGTTTGTTTTGTTATTACTTTGATTTGTAGACTTAGTCTGCTCAGACTGGTATAACAAAATGCCACAGGCTTGGTGGCTTAAACAACTTATATATATTTGTCACAGTTCTGGAGGCTGGGAAGTCCAAAATCAAGGCACCAGGTGAGGGCCCTCATCCTGGTTTGAGATGGCTGCCTTTTTGTTGTCTCATTGGCAGTGAGAAAGACAGAGAACTCTCTGGTGTCTTTTTTTATAAGGACAATAATCTCATCTTGAGTTCTCTACCCTCATGATTTCACCTAAATGTAATCATCTCCTAAGACCCCACTTCTGAATATCATCACATTAGAGGTTACAGCTTCAACATATGAATTTTGAGGGAAAAAGTTCATTCCACAGCATGGATGAAACTTTGTTAAATAAAATAACATACTTTTACAGAGACAGGAATGGTAGTTCTTTTGGAGTGGATAAATTTTACATATATCTCTCTTGAAATTTAAACCAAGGCTTGCAACTGTTTGGTCTCAGAAACTGTATGCAGAATGAATAAAAATACATATTCATAGGAGCAGAGAAAGAGTCCAAGAAATTGAGACCCAGGACAGGTAAACTTTAATGGAAGTTGGAGAGAACTCTAAAATAGAGAAAACAGAAGTCTACCTGATTAGGGCAATATGACATAGAAACACACACTTTAGAGTTCAATACACTAGACCATTGAGTCAGTCTTTCCAAACAACATTTTTAATTTGCAAGAGGGGATAATAGTAACACTTGTGTCAAAGGGTTGTTGTGAGAACTGAAGAAGGTAATTCACAAAATTTCCTAATATAGTGTATGGATACACAGTGGTTGAGAAAATATGTATTAGTTTCCTTTGTTGTTATAATAAATTGCTACAAAATTAGTGGGCAAAAATATATAAAACTATTATTTTATAACTCTAGAAATCAAAACACTGAGCTAATGGCAGGTCTGAATCCTTTCTGCAGGCTCTAGGGGAGAGCTTTTTCCTTGCTTTTTTGAATTTCCTTGCTTTTTCCAGCTTCTAGAGGTTACCTGTATTCCTTGGTATGTAGTTCATTCCTCCATCTTCAAAACCATCAGCATAGCAACTTCTCTCCTCTCTCCTGTCTGATTCCATCCTTACATCTTCTCTCTTTAATTATGATGCTCCTGCCTCTCTCTTATGAAGACCCTTGTGAATACATTGGGCTTACCAGGATAATCTCCTGCATCTCAAGATCCTTAACTTAATCACATTTCCAAAGTCATTTTTTTTTTTACCATGTAAAGTAACATACTCACAGGTTTTAGGGGCCATCATTTGGCCTACAACAATTCTCTCTCTGTCCCCAAAATTTCATGTCTGTCTCATATGCATTGACCCCATTAAAAGGTCCCCAAAACTCTCAACATCACGTCCAAAATCTCATCTAAGTCTCATTAGCTCAAAACTGAAATCTAATTAACTACATTATATAAATGAGATATGGGTGAGACTCTTGGTATGATCTAAGTTATCTGTCCCTGGTGGGACAGACTCCACCTGGATAACAGTGATAGAACTTCCCACTCTAAAAAGAGAGAAAGAAAAGCAAAAAAATAAGTCACTGTTCCCCCAAAATTTCTAAATCCAATGAGGCAAACTCCATTCTATTTCAAGTTTGGCTCCAGCTTCATCCCAGGCCCATGGCTCTGTTCTCAAAATCATAATTTCTCATGAAGGGTAGCACTATTTGCAGTTAAGTGGTTTTATCAGCCTGCTTCATGCCTCTAGAATTTTGGGAGTCTGACAACCTACTCCTGTGGTTGTTGTACTCTCTGTCACTTTCAGTACAAGCTGGCAATGTTTCTGCTGAGATAACATTCTCAGAAGTCTTGCAGGTCTCCTGTGCATGTCAAAGGGATCATTCCACTTAGCTCTCAAACTAAATAGAACCCATTACCTCTTTTCATAAATACAATTTTATTGGAGCATAGGTACACCTGTATGTTTGTGTTGATACACTGATGACTACTTTCATGATATAGGAACAGAGTATTGTAGTTGTGAGAGACAGAGATGGTATGACCTATAAAACCAAGACTATTTACTGTGGCCCTTTAGAGAAAAAGTTTCCTGACTGGAGAAAAGTCAAACTTAATAAGTAGTAGCTTTAAAAAATGACAGTTTTTGGTTGGTTACAAAAGGAGTGCCACATAAAGGTAGTAAACATTTCAGAGGTTGTGGTGGGAGGTATGAGAAGGGAAGTGAGAAAAGAAGGAATGAAGGAAGAGGAGGTGATAAACTTCAAAAGTACAGTTGATCTTGGCATGTTGCTTTGGAAGCCTGGGGCTAGGGTAATGAAGCAGCAAAATTGCAATGGAAGAAAATATTCGACCAAAGAAAGTAGAAGAGAAGTACAAAGCAGGCCCAAGTGATACGGAAAAGTCCCGCCTGGAGTGGTTCATTGGTCCCTTAATTTGCAAGGACCATGTTGCTTCCTTGCCATCCTCCCTCTGAAAAGAATTGTGCTGTGCATGCATATTGGACAGCAGTTGTTTAATTCTATGAGCCAATATCAGGTTCTTAATAAGCCTTCTCCCCTTTGCTTTTAATCAATGGGAATGAGAACATGCCAAGGGTGAGGTTTGTGTGGGTGTTTGGGGTTTTCACAAAAAGACAACTTGATTAGCTTTATTTAAAATGCAATTGCTTCTTGAATTGCTGTGCATAAATCCATTTCAGGTGGTTCTGCCTGTCACAGCTCTGCTTGCTGGTTATCAGCTCAATGTGTTCTTTGGCCTAAACAACAGTAGGACAAATAAGCAAAGACCCACTTGATGTCCTAGACATAAAAACTGATTTTTCCTGAAAGAGCAGCTCATTTTGGGAGTTGTAAATAGGGAGCATTAAGTCATTCAAAAGAGGCTTTGAGACCAATCACTGGAGCAGGCCTGGTTAGAATGGAACTAATTTGGGGTCTGGGATCTGGGTGGAGATGGCATGTCAAACTTTGTGGTTGGTTACTCCCAAAACACACACATCTGTTTCAATTGAACATACTGCAACTGCCCTGGTCCCTTCTCTACAAACATCTAAACCAGAACCTAGGACAGAGATAAGATACTTTCTGGGGTCAGCAGGCAATGTGTTCCACTTCAGGAAATCAGGCCAAATACAATCAATTCCATTGAAAAGTGCCCTGGACATGTAAAAAGGCAAGTGCCCCCTCACACAATACAGACTAACTGCAAAGCTCAGCTTTTTGCAGGTGGTGTGGATGATGGCAGAGTTGTCACCTTACAGAATAGTTTTTCAATAGGATAAAAGTTGCCTAGTAAATTGGGCTGAGAGGATCTTTTCCCTCAGAGGCATCACAAGGCATTTTGATGTGCTTATAACCTACAGCAACCCAGAAGAGTAGGGGTATCTAAAACTGATTTTGATTCAAATACTATAGAACCCAGTTATTATATGGCTTTTTAATGCTGATCCTCAAATAATCACCAGATATAGTTTGAGAACCACCACCACTCCCCACCCAAGCCCTTGTGCTTTAGTAAAAAACTCAAAATATGGGTTTGTTGTAGTGGTGTCCCATCTTATTTACAAAGTTTGGGGTCTAAATTTTCATAAGGATGAAAATTAGGTACAATTAAAATTCTTTCTGATGGCTGGTGTGTCTCAGTGGACTGAGTGCTGACCTGATGAACCAAAGGGTCACAGCTTGGATTCCTGGTCAGGGCACATGCCTGAGTGTGGACCAGGTCCCCAGTACAGGGTGTGGAAGAGGCAACCACACATTGATGTCCCTCCCTCTTTCTCCCTACCTTCCTTCTCTAAAAATAAATAAATAAAATCTTAAAAAAAAATTCTTTTGGAAAATCCTTTCAGATGCCCACAAGCCCAGCCAGACACTCAACTGTGAGAAGCTGGAGCTGACACTCACTCCCATCGGGTGATGGGCAGGAAGAACAACTGTGTGGGTGAAATTGTCACTTCTCTTTCTTGCTCTTTCTGCTGAGGATAGGGGATTTCACTCTAGTCAAAGTGTAATTTGTGTAACTTAACCCTGATAGGCACTCCCAGGACTATTAGTCCTGCAAATACAAAAGTATGCTTTTGTAAAGGAGTTCCTGACCATCAGTTTCCCATTGCCTAATAATGAAGATCCTCCATTATCTCCTCAACCAAAAGCACTGCCAGTGTTCTGCGGCCTTTTTTCATCCTCCCCTAAACAGCCTAGCTTCCTACGGGGACATCCCTGAGTTTTCAAATACCTCCAAAGGATTTCAGTGCTAAAGAATCCTCCCTTATAAAATGCTCTGTAGTCATACTGACCTCAAAATTCTGCACAGATATGCTTTCATTTTTTGTTTCCTGCTTACAAACTCCACATTGTTTACTCAATAAATTATGTACTCAGTTTAGCCCCTCAAAGACCTTAGCAATCTCTTCTTCCAAGTTTATTGCCTATTAATGTGTTGCCTGCCTGTCATGAATCTTGTTTATTTATTTATTTACTTACTTACTTTCATTTAGCACTTATAATGAGCCAAGCACTCTGCAAGTTCCCTAACATTCCCACTGTGTGTAACAAACTAATCCTGGTGACAATCCTATGAAGAGAGTACTATTACTCCCATTTTATAGGTGAAAAAAGCTGAAGGTCCCAGAGGTTCAGAACTAATAATCTGTAGAGCTTGGGCTTGAATTAGAAGCTTTCGTATTACAAAAGCCTTTCTTTTCTTTTCTCTTTTCTTTTCTTTTTTCCTTTCCTTTCCTTTTCTTTTTTCCTTTCCTTTCCTTTTCTCTATCTTTCCTTTCTTTCTTTCTCTTTATCTCTTTTTTCTTTCTTTCTTTCTTTCTTTCTTTCTTTCTTTCTTTCTTTCTTTCTTTCTTTCTTTCTTTCTTTCTTTCTTTCTTTCTTTCTTTCCTTTCCTTCCCTTCCTCCCTCCCTCCCTTCTTTCTTTCTCCTTCTCCTCCCTCTCCTTCTCCTTGTCCTCTTTTGTAGGGTGGCTGGAGGTAAGTGAACAGAGCAATGCCTTCTATCCAGTCATCTCCCCCAGCCTGTGTTTCAAGGTCCCAAAGTTGATTTAACACGACAAAGAAGCTGCCTGGAAATGAACTCAACACTTTGGAAAAGCCCTGTTTTTCTTGCTGTCATACATTATCAAGAAAAACAGGCTCTCCCAGGACAGCACAGTAAAATGGCTGAAGGTCTTTTGTCTTTTTTTTCTCTGTCCTCGAATCTAGGAGTCTTAGTGCCCATACTGCTGTCTAATCTAGTCTTGTTAGAACTGGGTGGTGTTTCACAATCCCCCTCCCCCAAATAGCCATCTGTTAGTTCTACCTTTTTGTGACCTTTCGCCCTTCTTCAGGTGCCAACTCAGCTCGTCCGTGGTTCAAGACTTAACTCAGTGCCACCTGTCTTTTCCCTCAAGGGGTGGTGTGATATTGTGGCTTATAATGAGAAATATATTAGTCTTCTCCCTGTTTTTGGCAGAGAGCTCCCAAAACCCTTAAAATTTCCTGTGATAAGAGTAATGAAGGTTCTTTTTGTTATGTTGAGGTGACTTTTGAGCCTCACCTAAGGAACCAACCATGTGATTAGAGGGTAGAACGTTCAGTCTCACCCAGCCCCACCAGGGGAGGGGACAAGTGTTAGAGGTGGAACTCGTTCACCAATGGCCAATGATTTGATCAGTCATGGGTCTGGAATGAGGCCTCCATAAAAACCCAAAATGTCAGAGTTCGGAGAGCTTCCAGGTTGGTGAAGATGTGGAGATTTTGGGAGAGATGTCTGTGCTGCTTCCCCTTGCCTTGTCTATGCATCTTTTTCATCTGGCTGATCCTGAGTTATATCCTTTTATAATAAACTGGTAATGTGTGAGTTGCTCTAAAAAGTTGCTCAGCATAGGTAACAGTCTGGACTTGCAACTGTCTGTCATCTAAAGTGTGTGTGTGTGTGTGTGTGTGTGTGTGTGTGTGTGTGTTGTGGTAGCGGTCTTATAGGACTGAACCCTTATCCTGTGAGATCTTATAATGGTGCAGAGCGAGGGTGCCCTGAAAATAGGAGAAAATTCCTACAAATTTTGTTTGGAGAAAGGGGCAAGTGGATGATAGGGTATTTAAGATACTTTGCATAACAATGGCAAGTTAATAGCCGTGCCTTTCTTGAATGGAGAGGGCTGCCACCTAGTGTGAAATGTGTATGTGACTTTAAGAACATATAGTGACTCCTGACATAGATGGGGGAGGGAAGGGTAGATGCCCACCCTGAATTTCCATGCATCACAGGGAACTCTTGCCCTGACTAAAGAGGGCAGCCGAAAAAAGATAAAAGATACAGGGGAACTGGTGAAAGTGTCAGATCATAGGAGGGGCCAGATATGAGGTCTCATAGGAAGTTCTGGGCCAAGCATTTAAAATAAGGGCAGGCTGAGAGAGAAGGTAGAAGAAGCCATGCAGGCTGAGAGATAGAAAGCAGCCATGCGATCTGAAAGAGTGTAGGAGAGAGTCTACCACGAAGAGAAGAAGCCCGGGTAGAGCTGATGGAGCTGTGCACAGATCTGCCTTGTCACCCGGATTCATGAGAGATGCTTGTGGCTTAACTGTGACCAGGAATGCTGATCTGCAGATTTCTGCTTCTCTGAAGGACATATGAAGAAACCACTCTCTTGGGACTGCACCTGCCTGAACCCCAACATGACCCAGTATAACACGGCACATGTTTTCCTGAACTAGTACATGGAAGCTGAGATCAGTGCACCCCAGATCCTGAAGGAGAGAGCTGCTGTGAGATGATGGTGACTCTAAAACCCACAAGTACACATTCCAGAGAGGATGGAGACATATTTGTGCAGCCAACTGAAGAACAGATAAAGATATGAGGAACTTCTGGGAATGGTTTTGGCTTACAATCTTTTGGGGAACAAGGGAAGTGCTGGGCCTTGTGGGTGAGGAGGGCTCTGAGCAGAAGTGCTCTCAGCCCCTCTGAGGTAGGAACCCTGTAAATAAAAACCTGTTGCCTTCAACACTAATTGGTGGGTCATGTGTCAAGGCATCACATGACCAACCCCCAGTTTACTTGGTTATAGTCTGATGGTATCTCCAGGTAGATAGTGTCAGAATTGAATTGAATTGTATGACACCCAGCTGGTGTTGGAGAATCACTTGGTGGTGTTGCAAAAATACCCAAACATTGGACTTGCTCCCAGAATCATAGAAAGAATGTGTATCCAAGAACGGGCCATTGTGGGTTCTTTATGGGACTTTTCTGTGACAGCTAAGAGGAAGGAAGCACCTTTCCCACTGGGGTGGGTAGTGACTGGCAGGGGACTTAGGTGATAATAGGATATAAGTGGCTCTCATAGAGGCAGACTCTCATGGAAATCTGCTTAGAGACAGCCTGCATATAATATGGAGGGAAAAAGGCCTGTTGACAGTGTTTGAACCCCTGCTCCAGCTATCGCTAAAGCCTACATGCCTGGACTTTGTATTTGTTTAAGTCAGTTTGAATTGTGTTTCATTGCTTGCGAAAAAAAAGTTTTAGCCAGTGTTTTTCAACCATTTTTTTTCCCATTATCACCACGCCCCCACCCCCAACGAACACATTCTAAACTTTCTTTTTTCTTTATTGCCTGATTCCCTCGCCATGAAATCTAATAAGGTACAAGAGATACACTCTACATCTGTTTATGTATACCTGTGCTTTATACATAAAAAGAGTAAAATTTTTTTCACTCCTTCCAAAAAACAAATTTTTGCCTGCTTGCAGGTGAGATCACCTCTGTTGAGACTGTAAGGTATTGCCTAATCAAGATGGCACTTAAAGATCCTCACCCCTGGTATTCATTCTTTCCCACATTTAGTCAGGGCCGGGCCTGTGCAAGCAATAGGAAGTGGCAGAGTGATGGTATGTGATTTTTATTTTTTTCTTTTAATCATTTTATTTATTTTTAGCTGAGGGGAAGTGAGGGAGAAAGAAAAGGAGAGAAACATCAGTATGTGGTTGCTTCTCATCTGCCCCCTGCTGGGGACCTGACTCGCAATCCAGGCATATGCCCTGACTGGGAATCTAGCTGGAGACCTTTAGGTTCACAGACTGGCCTTCAATCCACTAAGCCATGCCAGTCAGGGAAGTATGTGATTTTTAAAGCTAGGTCCTGCCTGTCAAGGCAGCTGCTACCTTTCTTCTGCTTAGAAAGTTCAGTCTTGAAGAAGAACTGGAGCCTCCAGCCAACAGCCAGCAGCTGCCTACTCACCATGTGAAGGAGCCACTTGGAAGCGTTCCTCCAGGCCCACTTGAACCTTCAGATGACGTTAGCCCTGGGTAACATCTTACTGTGGCTTCATGAAGGATCCTGAGTCAGAACCTCCCAGCCAAGCTGCTCCATAGAAACTCACAAATAATAGTGATTATTATGGTTTTAAGCCACTAAACTATGGAGTGATTTGTATTACAGCATTATATAACTAATATATTTATGTAAGGTCTCTTCCACAAATATTATACATACGGATTTTACCAGTAAGGGCAGTTGGTAGAAAAGGGTAGTTTATAGGGATGGAATCACAGCCAAAGGTTTAGAAAACCTGAGTTTCTACCAATATATTGCAAGGGGCATTGCAATAAACAATAAATAGTTTGTTTAAAAAAACGAATGAGAGAAATAAGCCACCACCATGCGAATTTAACAAGGCTTGCTAATTACCTACTCTGTGTAAGGCATTGTATGAAATAGAGCATTAGTTTTTTAAGGTTGTTGTAACAAAGTACCACAAGATGGATCACTTAAATAACAGAAATTTATTCTCTCACAGCTCTGGAGGCTGGCAGTCTGAAATGAAGGTTTTTGGAAGGACCATTCTCCCTCTGGGGGCTCTAGGAGAGAATCTGTTTCTGCCTCTCTCCTAGCCTCTGGTGTTGCTGGCGATCCTTGATGTTCCTTGGATTATAAATGCTGGCAGTCTCTGCCTCTGTCGTCCATGGTGTTCCCCCTGTGTGTCTTCACCTTGTCCTCCTCTGTGTGTATCTGTCTCTGTGTCTCTACTGTTCTTACAAGGACAGCACATATATTGGATTAGAGTGACCCTAAGGACCTCATTTTAATTATATCTGTAAAGTCCCTATTTCCAAGTAAGTCACAGGTACTGAGGGTTAGGACTTCAACAGCTTTTAGTAGGATACAATTCAATCTATAGCACTTAGAGATAGTTAAGATGAATCGGATTCATTCTTGACAGTGATGACTAGAGAACCATGCATATCTAACTACAACCCACATTGCAAAGGCATGCATAATTTGGGAATGCCTCATGGACAAGGTGACAATGTTGTTTGCTTTCAAAAGATGAGTAAAATTTTGACAGTTGAAGAAGAGGAGTCATTCTTGGCAGATGAACCAGAATGAACAAAGGTAAGAAGGCTAGAAAGCAGAGGAACCACTGAGGGCTGAAGAGCTGCTGTGCAGGTGAACAGGAACAAATGTTCTAGCCAGGTTGGAGGGGTATTGATTGCAAATGTAGGGAATCAGCACTAGGTCCTTGGAACAGTTATTATCAACACCCAGCCCATATCCCTTCAAATCCGTTTACTGTTTCTATGGCTGAGATCAGATGACAGATGAGAACATGAGACACACAAGCACCCTAGATGAGGCAGCACCTGTTGCCCAAGGGCAACCCTCTGGAGAAGGCTCAGATGAAAGTCTTCAGCAGCAACAGTGCTGGCAGCATTTGGGAAATGGGGGGAAAAGATCCCATGGTATCTGGGCAGGCACCCCAGTCTCTGCCTCCCTGGAGAGAGTCCAGGTGCTAAGGTCCTGGCAGCAGGTGAAACTAAGTCAATGGAGACAAAGAGCCAAGTTGGGGTGAAGATGTGGGTCTGGGATTTATCCAAATGCAAGGGTATAAACACTTGAGAGTGGTGAGATCACCTAGACAGAGCAGGGAACGTTTAAAGAAAGGGGTTCCGGAGCACAGAGGGTAAGAGAACCTGAGTTATGAGATCCATGTGCCTGAACCTGTCTAATTAGGTAGCTCCAGTCATTAGATAATTACCACCCAAAGTGAATGCTGGAGTTTCACAGAGTTGTGATAAAACTCATCCCCAAATCACCAATGTTCTTTAGACTGAAA